CCGCAGTTTCTTCCACTGTTCTCTCTTGGCAAAGTAATCAGGATACATTGCCTTCTCAGAAGGATGCCAGTCATCTAAGCACCATTCTGGGACCTGTCAGGAGAGGAAATCATGGTATCAATCCACAGGACACACTTACCTATCCCTGATAGGGTCTGCTCAGGAGATGTAACACAAAGATCAAGGTACATTTTTATTTTTATAACCACTGCAACTACCAGACTGTTTCTAACTCTAAGCAAAGAACAGCAGAGGATAAGCAGGAACCAATAATAAAGGAAAATGCCTCAGAGTCAAAGACGGTGCTGAAAAATAGCACCATCATCAGTCCAAGGAGAACTGGCTTCATTCCTCCCCTACCTGCCTTCTCTAAATATCCAGAGTAGTCTTATCTTACTTGGAACTCTTAATTAGAGTATCTCAGAAATATTAAGCATCAATCCAAGTTGGTTAACTTTAAAGTCTAAAGTGAACTTTGTTATAGCAAAAAGTATACTGTACGATCTTGAATCTGAAAGTAGAAAGTCTTAATGACATCTCAGAGAAAACTGACACCTAAAAAACAGTACTGGCACACCTCAGAGATACTGTGGGTTTGGATCCACACTGCTGCAATATAGCAAATATCACAATAAAGCAAGTCACAAAATGTTTTTGGTTTCCCAGTGCATATAAAAGTTATGTTTATACTATACTATAAAGTGTCCGATAGCATTATGATGTCTGTTGAGATGGAGTCTCCTGGTGAAGATTTTGTGACTATTGATTAAATAACAAAGGACTTTGAATAGTACAACTTAGTTGATAAAGCAGTGACAGGGTTTGAGAGGATTGACTCCAATTTTGAAAGTAGTTCTTCTGTGGGTAAAATGCCATCAAATGGCATCACATGCTATAGAAATATTTCGTGAAAGGAAAAGTCAATTGATGTGGCAAACCTCACATAATACACATAAAAAATGTACATAATTTAAAAATACATTATTGGTTGGGCGAGGTGGCTCCTGCCTTTATTCCCAGCCCTTTGAAGGCTGAGGTAGGGAGATTCTATGAGGGTAGGAGTTCGAGACCAGCCTGGACAACATAGCAAGACTCCATCTCTACAAAAAATGAAATAAATTAGCTAGGTGTGGTGGTGTGCACCTGTATTCTTAGCTACTTGGTTGGCTAGGACAGGAGAACTGCTTGAGCCCAGGGGGTCCAGGCTACAGTGAGCTATGATAATGCTACTGCACTCCCGTCTGGGCAACAGAGGGAGACCGTTTTCAAAACAAAAACAAAAGAAATACGTTATTGATAAAAACTCCAACAATCATCTGAGCCATCAGAAAATCAATCTTTTTACTGGTGGAGAGAATTGTGTCAATGTTGATGGCTGGTGACTAAACAGGGTAATGTTTGCCGACGGTTGGAGTGGCTTTGGCAATTTCCTAAAATAACAATAAGGTTTGCCACATCAATTGACTCTTCCTTTCACCAAACACTTCTATAGCATGTGATGCCATTTGATAGCATTTTACCCACGGAAGAACTTCTTGCAAAACTGGAGTCAATCCTCTCAAACCCTGCTGCTGCTTAATCAACTAAGTTGATGTACTGTGTGAAGTCCTTTGTTACCATTTCAACAATGTTCACAAAATCTTCACCAGGAGACTCCATCTCAAGAAACCACTTTCTTATTCATCCATAAGAAGCAGCTCTTCATCTGTTCAAGATTTATCATGAGATTACAGCAATTCAGTCACGTCCTCAGGATCAACTTCTATTCTGGCTCTCTTGCTATTTCCACAACTTCTGCAGTTACTTCCTCTGCTGAAGTCTTGAGCCCTTCAAAGTCATCCACAAGGGTTGGAATCAACTTCTTCCAACCCCATTAAAGCTGACATTTTGATCTCTTCTCATGAATCATAAATATCCTTAATGGCATTTAGAATGGTGAATTCTTTCCAGAAAATTTTACTATGCCCAAATCCATCAGAGGAATCAACATCTATATCAACTATAACTGTGCAAAATATATTTCTTAAATAATAAAACTTGCACGTTGAAATTACTCCTTGATCCATGGGCTGCAGAATGGATGTTAGTAGACATGGTAGCAGGTCTCGACAGTGGGTTTGAAAGATTCAGTAAACCATGTTGTACACAGATTTGCTGTAACTCAGCCTTTGTTATTCCATTTCTAGGGCACAGGCAGAGTAGGTTTAGCATAATTCTTAAGGGCCCCAGGATTTTCAGAATGGCAAATGAACAATGGCTTCAACTTAAAACCACCAGCTGCATTAGCCCCTAACAAGAAAGTCAGCCTGTCCTTGAAGTTTTGAAGCCAGGCACTGACTTCTTTCAAGGTATGAAAGTTCTAGATGGTATCTTATTCCAAAAACAGGCTACTTCATCTCCACTGAAATTCTGTTGTTGAGTACAGCCACCTTCATCAACTATCTTAGCCAGCTTTTGTGTAATAATTTGCTGCAGCTTTTCCATCAGCACTTGTTACTTCATCTTGCACATCTGGGTTACAGAGATGGCTTTTTTTCCTTAAACCTCATGGACCAACCTCTACTAGCTTCCAACTTTTTTTCTGCAGCTTCCTCATCTCTCTCGGCCTTCACAGAAATGAAGAGTTAAAGACTTGCTCTGGATTAGGCTTTGGCTTAAGGGAATGTTGTAGCTGGTTTGATCTTTTGTCCCAACCACTAAAACGTTCTCCGTATCAGCAATGAAGCTGTTTCACTTATCATTTGTGTGTTCACTGGAGCAGCACTTTTAATTTCCTTAAAAAACCTTTAGTTTCCTTTGCATTCACAACTTGGCTAACCAGCAGAAAAGGCCTAGCTTTCTGCCCATCTTGGCTTTCAACATGCCTTCCTCACTCAGCTTAATCATTTCTAGCTTTTGATTTAAAGTAAGAGATGTGCAACGGATTTAAAGTGAGATACATGTAACTCTTTCTTTCACTTGAACACTTAGAGGCTATGGTACGGACATTAATTGTCCTAATTTCAGTGTTGCTGTGTCTTAGGGAATAGGGAGCCCTGAGGAGAGGGATAGAGGGGGAGGAACTACTGGTCAGTGACAGTCAGGACACACACATTTATGGATTAAGTCTGCTGTTTTATATGGGCATGGTTTTTATGCCCCCGAACAATGACAATAGTAACATCGACGGTGACTGATCATAGTTCACCACAACAGATAGACTAATAATAAAAAAAAGTCTGAAATCTTGCAGGAATTGCCAAACTGAGAAACAGAGACAGGAAGTGAGCCCATGGTGTTGGAAAAATGGTGCCCATAGACTCACTCAGCACGGGGTTGCCACAAACCTTCAATATATAAAAATACAGTATCTGCCAAGCACAATAAAACAAAATGCAGTAAAATAAGGTAGGCCTGCATCTGACAACTGTCAGGAAAGAAGTCTCCTAGCTACCCCTTGAAAGGCAAGTGATTTCTAAGGCTGAGGTCTGGGACTGAAGAAACAAAGTCTATCTCTCAGAAGGCAGTCATCATTATAATTCTCGCCTACCTTGTAGCAATCGTATCTCTCATAGGAGGTGCCCCCAGGAGAGTCAGGGAAGATGTACGGCTGTGGATGCTGATAGTACCAGAATTCTTCCTCAGCCTCCTTCAGCAGCTGGGTGGCCTTCATCATATCCTTTTCATTCTTATGTTCTTCAAACCGGGCTCTCATCAAACAAGCAAAGTATCGGTATTTGTCTCTTAAACCAAAATGATTTTGAAGATTAGAAATGTTACCTACTCACATGGTCAGAGTTGCTGTCTGACAGGAGGCTGCACTCCTGACACCTTCTGGATGGGCAGTGGACCTCCCCCAACCCTCCTAATGGAGCAGCCGTATCATCATGGCTGCTTCCTCTAGAGCCCACCAAACAGCAGCAGCAAAAAATAATGTATTAAATATATACCCTAACCATTTTTCTCCTCTTACATCCAACAATGGAAAGAGGATTTAAACAAAAAAGAAAAGAGAATTCGCAAGAGAAAAGCTATAACCTCTGTAGGATCATTCAACACTCATTGAATGACAACTTCCATTTCCTTCTATCTTGTGCTAGTCACTATGCTAAATTCTGGAGATACAAAGATGAATAAGAAAGGTGTTACTTGGCAGAAACAGTATTGCTTAGCTCGTACAGAGCTGGGTTTGTATCCTGACTCTGACACTAGCTGCATAACCTTAGGCAAGTTAAAGTCAGGTTCTAAAGAAACTGGGCAAAGACCAGCTAGGAGGTTTTGACAGTAATCTAGGACACAGATGACAAGGGCCTGAAAGTAGAGAGCTGTGATGGTGACAGGAGACAGGAGAGACATTTAGAGACATTTAGACTTCCCAGTTATGAGAATAGGCTCTCCAATCAGACTGTGTAGGCCTGAATCTTAGCTCTGCCACTACTAGCTGTGTAACCTGGGGTAAGTTAATGTCTTCTGGCAAGGTGCAGTGGCTCATGCCTGTAATCCCAGCACTTTGGGAGGCTGAGGTGGGTGGGTGGGTCACCTGAGGTCAGGAGTTCAAGACCAGCCTGGCCAACATGGCAAAACCCTGTCTCTACTAAAAATACAAAAATTAGCCGGGCATGGTGGTGGGCGCCTATAATCCCAGCTACTCGAGAGGCTGAGACAGGAGAAGCGCTTGAACCTGGAAGATGGAGGTTGTGGTGAGCCAAGATCGCGCCATTGCACTCCAGCCTGGGCAACAAGAGCGAAACTCCGTCTCTCGTAAACATTCAATAAGATAAACACACTTTAAAAAGTGCCTGGTACATCCCAAGTGTTCAATAATGTCAGTTACTAATATCATACTAGAAAGAGAATTTACAAAAACCAGTGTCGAATTATACATGGTGTATGAGTATGTGTGTTATTGGCAAAGGAGTAAGGAGCAAATACTTGAGATCAATCCTGAGACTTAAAGCTCAGTAACTAAATTACTAATAATACCATTAGTGGAGGCAGGAAATTTGGGAAAAGAGTCAGAATGGGGAGTGATAGGAAAACAAGTTTGATTTCAAAGAATTTAGATAAATTGAGTTTGAGAGAACAGTTGGTGATCTTTTCAAATTTTTTTTTTTATTATTATTTTTTGAGACAATGTTTCACTCTTGTTGCCCAGGCTGGAGTGCAACAGGGCGATCTTGCCTCACTGCAACCTCTGCCTCCCAGGTTCAAGCGGTTCTTCTGCCTCGGCCTCCCGAATAGATGGGATTACAGGCACCCACCACCACACCTGGATAATTTTTGTATTTTTAGTAGAGACGGGGCTTCACATGTAGGCCAGGCTGTTCTCGAACTCCTGACCTCAGGTGATCCATCTGCCTCAGCCTCTCAAAGTACTGGGATTACAGGCATGAGCCACCATGTCCGGCCAACAGTCGGTGATCTAACAAACAATTTGAACTACAGCTCTAGAGACAATTGAGCGCAGGTGGTGACTCAAGTCCCAGCACTAAATGAGGCTGCCCAAAGTACATACAGCAACAGAGTAAGCCTAGGATGGAACCACAGAGAATAGCATAATGAGGGCAAATGGAGGAAGAAATTAAGGCAAGGATTGAGAAAAAATGTCAGATCTAAAAAATGCTGAGCCATAGCTGTCATAGTAGCTAGTTTATATCATCTTCCTCTAGCACTATGGACTTTAGTATTCCCAGCTGTAGTTCAGTATTGCTTGAATTCTTTTTTTTCATGTTTAATTTTTTTTGACACATAATAATTGTACCTATTTATGGGGTACATGTGATATTTTAATACATCCATATAATGTATAATGATCAAATCAGGGTGATTTGGATATTCATCACCTCAAACATTTATCATTTGTGTTGGGATACCTGAATCCTGGATGGCTCAACTTCCTTCATCATCAATTTGTTTACATGTCCATTTTCCCCACTAATCCATGAGCTGCTGCAGCTCAAAAATTGATTACTAACATTTATATATTTAGCATAGAGCATAGAATCTGAATTGCAAATTCTGTCAAATAAATAAATAAGGAAAACTCAAGGAAGAAACTAACAATCCCATCACATTGTACTTGGCCATCTTCCTGCCAAATCAAGAGAAGTATGTCAGTGACTTTCTAATAGTCACATACATGCAATCTGGGCTTCGAGAATACCCTCTGCAATTCTTCCAGGCCTAATCCATTTTCCATGGAGTTTTTCCCAGAAGCCCTTCTTATAAAATAGGTTTGGGGAGTTTTAAGACTGGAGTGGAGGCCAGGCACTCACACATCTTGGGTTGTCAGCCCACCTGCATTGAATTTAGGTTATTAAAATCTACAGATTTTAACACTATGCTCTAACACTAGTCTCAGATGGATAGAGAAGGAAAGAGAATTATGTAAGAGGTGAAAAAGATGTAAAGGTAATGAAAAGGACTAGATGAAGCTAAAAAGAGAAAAGCTAATGGGAGGGGTGGGCGAATAATGATGCTTTGGAGTAAGACCTAAATTTTAACCCTGGCTCAGACACTTACAAACGCCATCACCTTGAGCAAGTTACTAGCTGTACTTACCTCCTTATCTGTAAAATAAGCTTAAGATAATTCCTAAGTTTTGCTGACTAAAGAAAATAACGCATAGCTTACTGCTGTTAATATTGGAAAGTAGAAGATCGTGAAGAAAACGATTATTTAGCGAGCGCTGGACCCATGACAATTACAATTTTAGGCGTATTCCTTTATTTCACTTAACCTTCCTGCGACCCTCTGCGCTGGTCCTGCGTCCGTTTCACTACACAAAAAGCTGAGGCCCAGACCCGATAAGCAACTCTACAAGATCTCCCGGCCCTGGGTGGCAAAGCCTGGATTCGAACCCGGGTCTAGGACAGGATTCTGTGGCGCGAGAGGCCACCTTCCAATTCCGTCCCGAAATCCTTGAACCTCCCGGTACCCGGTGGCCTCTCCACCTCCACGGGGCCCCCAGGGTCACCTCCCCAAGTCCTGGGTCCCCATCCCTTACCTGTGGACGCACCACGACTCCAGGTGGCGCAGCACCCGCTTATAAAGCCGCAACACCTTCTGCTGATGGGTCAGGTAGACCCCCGACACCGATAACGCCATGACTGCGCTGACCTTCCCCGGCCGCGGGGACAGCCGGGAATCCGTAGGCCTGCGCCAGCTGACGGAACAACGCCAGCCGGAAGGGTGGAGCAGCCGGCGGCCACTTCCGCTTCCGCCGGCGAGGTCTCCCATCCGCAGTCATGGGTCGCTTCAAGTTTGTCGGTAAGAGGAGCGTTTTCCACGCCCTTGGGTCTTTTTGACTTGTCCCGGGCGTCGGTCACCAAGGTCACAGGACCCAGGAATTGCGCCCTCCGGCTTTGTAAGGGTTGAAAGGGTCGCTCAGTGGAAGAGGGCGCGGGGAGATTTCTGGGTGCTGTTAATGTTCTGGTTCTTGATCTAGGTCCTGGATTCACGAGGGTGTGTTTATTTGTAAAAATTAACAAGCCAAGCTGTACAGTTATGATTTTTGTGCTCTTTTCAACATCTGTAATGTATTCTGTTTTTAAAAAAGAGAGAAAACTCCAAAAAGGCCAATCACTGTGTTCCCATTCATCCCACGTGCACCTCCCGGCCCTTGGATGACCGCTTTTAGGGCCCAATTCACTCAACCTTTCATTCGTTCATATCATAGTTAATGAGCGCCTCAAGTGAGCCTGGCACTGGCCTAGAAACACAGGGCACAAAGCTCTCAGTTCTACTGTCATCACCATCTAGTGGAGAAACTAGAGAACACAAGTAGTGGGGAGAAAAACAAAATCTGTACTTGGCAAGTACAGTGATCCAGTCAGTATCAGTAGAACAAGAGAGCGAGAATGCTGCCGGGATTTCAATGGGCATGGTCCTCGTCTTTGTGGGGTTTCCAGCTACTTGAAGGTGGGAAATGACAGCGATCACACCTCTGCTTTAGCACAGTAATGCTGATAGCTATTATGTAGCTTTTGTGGGAAATAGGGAGAGGTAGGGAATCACTTCAAGACTTAAACTAGGGTAATGGAAAAGAGAGAGAAGTGGAAGAGATGTGTGCAGCATTTAGCAGTCAAGTGTTCATGGCCGGTAGTAGAGAGTGAACAAAGATGACTCAGGGTTTGGAAAAATACTGAAATATGAAATGGAAGCATGACTAGTTTGGCGGTGAGGAGAGGTACCCAGGTCCATTTGGGTTAAGTTTGAGATAATTATAGGACATCCAGGTAGAGATATCTGGGCAATTGGCAATGCGGTCTGGCAATCAAGAGATAAGGATTATACATTTACATCTGAGAGTTATTTAAGCAGTATTTTTTTTTCAAAGACATTGTGCTAAGTCCTGTGGAACTGTAAAATCTAGTGGTGCAGTTTTCAGACTGGAGACCTAAGACCTATGTACTGTACAGTCAAAAGCAAACGCAGGAAAGAGTGTGTTAAGTGCCAGGAAAAAGGTTTTGAAATTGCTGTGGGAAAGCCTGGAGTAGGGATTTGGGGAGGGGTCCTCAAATAAGACATTGCCGTGTCTTAAGCCTTTCCATCCTAACGTTTGATATAATTGATGAGGGAGATGGAATAAAGAGCCATGAAGTCCTCCATAAAGAAAGGCCACATGACTTTTTAAAAGTGTGTTTATGTTACACAACTAAATCCTTGCCTTAAGTTAATGTTTTAAATCCATCCTCCATGTAGACTCCATTTTGGTGTATCTAAAACTCAAATCAGCTACATGTTTCTTTTGCTTTAAATCTCTCATTTATTCTCCTCAGGATAGTCTAAGTACTTTCACACCATACAAAGCCCTTCTATTGTCCAGTCCTGCCCACTTTTCTAGCCCATCCCTGGACTGCTCTATGAACACTTGTGCTTGCTGTTTGTTACCTCTGACAAGGTTTTAGAGTGGCAGTTTGGGGCCAAAATATTCCCGCTGCCTACCAACCCTGTTGCCTGTCTGCCTACCTGCCCTGCCTACCTACCTACCTTACTCCTTAAAGCTTATACCACATTATTTGTAATTAAATATGAGTCTGTCTTTCCCACTAGATCAAACTCTTAAGGCAGATACTCTGGTATGGTATTTATATTTTTTTCCTAGGGGCGTAGTACAATGACTGTTTGGGCAAGTATGAATGAGTGGCTTTAATGCTAAGGTGATAAGAAAATTAGTAAAGGGATTAGCACCAGATAAAATAAGCAAGAAAAGACTTCTTAGAGAAGGAGACTTTATTGGAATAAATAATTGGAATAAATTTTTTCTGCATGGTCTCCTTTAGCCCCGCTCTCCTAAAGTAACCATATTAAAAGTTTAAAGTATAGCCTTCCCTAATTTTTTAATAGATTGTTATGCAGATTCATAAAAATACAACATATCAAGGTTTTTTGGGTTTTTTTTTCCTTTTAAAACAGAAATGAGATCGTATTATACATTCTATCCTTGGTATATGACTTACTCTGATATTTAATCTTTCAGTTTGTGTCGTTTAAAAAAATTCTGTCCATGAATCGCTAGACTAAATTCTTAGCCTAATAATGAGTTCTGAACAAATACTTTGAAAAACACCATATTAAATCTCTGGAAGATTGGTCCATGAACAAGCTTCACATGGGACAACTGCATGAAAAATTAAACCAGTATTATGAAAATTACCTTAGATTTTGGTTTAAGACAGCTGACCATTATAATTCTTTCTACATTTCTCTCTTTTCTACTTGCATAACAAGTGACTGCCCCTTAGAACTATACCCCAACAGTGGGGGTTTTTGTTTGTTTTGAGACAGGGTCTTGCTCTGTCACCTAGGCTGGAGTATAGTGGCTTAGATCATGGCTCCAGCATTGACCTCCTGGGCTCAAGTGATCTTCCTGCCTCATCCTCCCAAGTAGCTGAGACTAGAGGCCCTCACCACCATACCAGGCTAATTTTTTTTTGTAGAGACAGTGTCTTGCTATGTTGCTCAGGTTGGTCTTGAATTGCTGGCCTTAAGCAGTCCTTCCACCTCCACCTCCCAAAGTTGTGGGATTACACATGGAGCCACTGGCCAGCATGAGAATTTCTTTAGCCCAACTTACAGTCTTTTCTTTCTCCACAAGTGGAATTTTTTACATTCTATTCCCTGGGTGTTATTTACAAACTCTTCCACTTTGCAACTATTATATGCCCAAATCTCTACTGCATTGATCTTAGATTACATAGTATACAAAAAAATGAGAAATATCTGTGCAAGAAGAAAATGCAAAATACAAACAACAGTGAAAATAAAAACATCACATTCCATTCCTGATATTGTTTAGATATTTGTCCCCTCCAAATCTCATGTTAAAATTTGCTGTCCAACGTTGGGGTGGGTCCAGTGGGAGGTGTTTGGGTCACTTCCTACCATCCATCTCATGGGGGTGGATCCCTCATAAAAGGCTTGATGACCTCCCTGTGGTAATGAGTTCACACTGGTTCCCCTTCCCTTTCCACCAGGGTTGGAAACTTACTGAGATCCTCCCAAAAGCAGATGCTGGTGTCAAGCATCTTGTACAACCTGCAGAACCATGAGCCAAATAAACCTCTTTTCTTTATAAATTACCCAGTCTCAGGTGTTCCTTTATAGCAATGCAAAAGCAAATTAATATAATTCCTCCAAATCACACATAACACTTCCATATCTATCTTTCCAGATCTTCTGTAGGCATACCAAACAAAATAAGATCATACTGAGGCTACTCTTTTGTAATCTGCTTTTTTCAATCACAGTCTCCACCTTTCTATTTCAGGAAATTTTCATCTTAACTAATACCAAAACCATACTCAGACTTTTCCTGTTGTTCCAAAAATGTCCCTTGGTGGTCATGTCCAAAATAGTATCCCATTTAGAGCCACACATTTGGTTGTTCCTTAAGTTTTTAAATCAAGTGCAGAGGTTTGCAAACTTTCTCTTTAAAGGGCCATATAGTAAATACTTTAGACTTTGAGGGCCATGTGATCTCATTGCAGCTATTCAACTCTGCCCTTTTGTGTACTGTGATGTAATAATAAATACATATTTGTTCTGTGCTCCCATTCCTTTGTGCACAACTCCTGAAACCTTTGGAATCTCCTAAGTGCTTTTTGTATGCTACTAAGATGACTGATGACTGGGGGCTCCTGGATAGCCTCAGGATGGGGGTTTGCCTAGGAAAACCAATCATGTGATTAGAGAGTTGGAAGTTTCAGTCCCTCCCACCCACTCCCACCTCTGAGGAAGGGGAGAGGAACTAAAGGTTGAGTTGTTCACTAATAGCCAGTGATTTAATCAATCATACCTACATGGTGAAGCCTCTAAAAACCCATACATGTCTCTTATGTGTCTCTTCCGCATGGTCGTTTTTGAGCTGCATCTTTTTATAATGAATGGGTAATAAGTAAAGTGCTTTCCTGAGTTCTGTGAGCTGCTCTAGCAAATGATCAAACCTGAGAAGGGGGTTGTGGGAACCTCTGATTGTAGCCAAGTTGGACAAGTTGTGGGTAACCTGGGAACCTACTGCTTGTAATTGGCATCTGGAATGGGAGGAGTCTTGTGGGACTGAGCCCTTGACTTCTGCCGTCTGATGTTATCTCCAGGTAGATAGTGTGAGAATTGAGTTAAATTGTAGGTCACCCAGCTGGTGTCAGAGAATTGGTTGTTGGGAGAGGAAACCCCACACCTACGTGATGTCAGAAGTGAATCTTCACACCTGTAATCCGAGCACTTTGGGAGGCCAAGGCGGGAGGACTGCTTGAGCCCAGGAGTGCAAGACCAGCCTGGGCAACAAAGTGAGACTCATCTCTACTTAAAAAAAAAAAAAAATGAAGTATTCAGAGTATTGTGAGTATGAGAATACAGTTTTCCTATCTCACACCTTGTCATTCAAAAGCAGGTGATAGTATGTAAGTAGGTGTGGCCATGTTCCAGTAAAACTTATGGTCACCGAAACTTGAAGTTCTTATAATTTTGATGTGTCACAAAATATTATTTTGATTTTCTTCAACTATTTAAAAATGTAAAGTCATTCTTAGCTTAGAGGCAAACAAAAGTAGGCAGTGGCTTGTGGGTCTTAGTTTACCAACCCCTTGATCTAGCGCATTTCTTTTTTTAATGGCACTGACTTGCCAAAGCAGCTGGGCTAATTGTCCCTGTGAAATAAAAATAAAATTCTAAGCCCCCTA